GGTTAAGTAGGTACACACACACACACACACACACACACACGATTCCACCTAATCAGCTTATCTTTGTAAAACGGAAAAGCTTCTTAAAACTTCAGCCAATCAAGCATTATATTATGATATTATGATAATTAAGCACTATTTAATGATACAACTAGTGATTAGAACTAAAACTTGGTAACCATGAATGAATGCATATTTGTCATTTTAACTGAACTTAGGACTGGTGGTGGTGTTTAAGATATTGTTGGTCATAAGTAATAGTAATTATTATTAAAAGATACTACTACTACTATTATTATCTGCTGGGTTCATGAATATTAATCACGTGGTAATAGATGAGCGCCAGCCAACGAGAGCTGTTCGCGCATTAGCTCCGCCCACTGCCGAGAAACCGGCATATCTTCTGTCTTCTGCTTGAAGCTGAATAATTCTAAATGAACTCTGTTATTTTGACAGGAAAATACAACAAAGAATATGGAATATGATGTAGTGTGTCGATTCAGCGTGGTATGCAAGACTCTCGCTCTCTCTCTTTGCATGTGTGAGAAACAGCGCTATCAGCAAAGCACACTAGACTTCACTTCACACTAGAGTTTACGGTGCGTCAAATACAGGTGCGCTGCACATCCATTCAGATGAATTGAAATAGTACAGATTGCTTGATAGAGAGCGGCGCGGAGAGCGAACGCTCAGTCAGCGTGTTTATCGAGTGAAAATCTGTGTTGAACGCCTCTCACACACATACTACACATACTAATCTAAGAATTTATTAGCCAATGGCTAATGTTAGACATTATTTAGTCACCCAGAGTAAGATTTGGTCGCATTTGCGAGTGATTTACTCGCAATGTAGAGGGTTGCCCATTCAAGAGATGTGCTTGACAGTCATACGGACACGCTGCTTCTTTGAAAATTCGAGTCCCGTGGAGAGCATGGACCACGGGGAGTATACGCATCGAGGTCACACACAGCTGCGTCAGCGCTCCGAGGCCGTGGCGTGAACCAGAAATGT